TGTGTTGTGATGCCATTGCTGGACTGCCTTGCCTTGAAGAGACTCTTGATTTCTTTCGTAAAGTTGGTCTGTGATGACCCACAAGTATAGGGGATCTATCGTAGTCCTTTTGATAATTAAGAGTGTCAAACCCAACGAGGAGCAGAAGGAAATGACAAGCGGTTTTCAGCAAGGTATTTTCTGCAAGCATTTAAATTATCGGTAACAGAGAGTTGTGTGATAAGATAATTCATAACAAGTAACAAGTTATCGGTAACAAAGTGTTGTGTGATAAGATAATTCGTAACAAGTAACAAGTAACAAAAGTAAACAAGGTGTAGGAAGGTGGCCCAATCCTTTTTGTAGAAAAGGACAAGCATGTATGAACTCTTATATAAAGCAAAGCACTCCCGAGGACACATGGGAATTACTGTCAAGTTAGTTTTCATCATGCTCATATGATTCGTGTTCGTTACTTTGATAATTTGATATGTGGGTGGACCGGTGCTTGGGTGATTTCCTTCCTTGAACAAGCCTCCCACTTATGATTAACCCCTCTCTCAAGCATCCACAACTACGAAACAAGAATTAAGATAAATCTAACCATAGCATGAAACATATGGATCCAAATCAGCCCCTTACGAAGCAACACATAAACTAGGGTTTAAGCTTATGTCACTTTAGCAACCCATCATCTACTTACTACTTCCCAATGCCTTGCCCTAGGCCTAAATCATGGTGAAGTGTCATGTAGTCGACGTTCACATAACACCACTAGAGGAGAGACAAACATACATCTCATCAGATTATCGAACGAGTACCAAATTCACATGATTACTTATAACAAGACTTCTCCCATGTCCTCAGGAACAAACGTAACTACTCACAAAGCATATTCATGTTCATAATCAGAGGAGTATTAATTATTATTAAGGATCTGAACATATGATCTTCCACCGAATAAACCAACTAGCATCAACTACAATGAGTAATCAACACTACTAGCAACCCAGAGGTACCAATCTAAGGTTTTGAGATAGAGATCGGATACAAGAGATGAACTAGGGTTTGAGAGGAGATGGTGCTGGTGAAGATGTTGATGGAGATTGACCCCCTCTCGATGAGAGGATCATTGGTGATGACTATGGCTTCCATTTCCCCCTCCCGGAGGGAAGTTTCCCCGGCAGAATAGTTCCGCCGGAGCCCTAGATTGGTTCTGCCCAGGTTCCGCCTCGAGATGGCGGTGCTTCGTCTCGAAAGCTTCCTTCCGATTTCTCCAGGTCATAACACACCATATAGTAGAAGATGGGCATCAGGAGCCTGCCAGGTGGCCCACATGGCAGGGGGTGCGCCCAGGGGGGTAGGGCGCGCCCTCCACCCTTGTGGATGGTAGGTGCCCCCCCCTGTGGTGCTTTCTTCGCCCAATATTTTTTATTAATTCCAAAATGACTCTCTATGAAGTTTCAGGAATTTTGGAGTTGTGCAGAATAGGTCTCTAATATTTGCTCCTTTTCCAGCCCAGAATTCCAGCTGCCGGCATTCTCCCTCTTCATGTAAACCTTGTAAAATAAGAGAGAAAAGTGATAAGTATTGTGCTATAATGTGTAGTAACAGCCCATAATGCAATAAATATCAATATTAAAGCATGATGCAAAATGGACCTATCAACTCCCCCAAGTTTAGACCTTGCTTGTCCTCAAGTGAAAGCCAAAATTGAAAAACATGTCCACATGTTTAGAGATAGAGGATTCGATAAAATAAAATACGGACATGAGGGCATCATGATCATCTTTAGAACAACAGCTTATAATGTAATATAGTTTCTTGTCTTAAAGTAACAATTCATTAACAAGGTAAAGTATGAATCAAAAACCTCATTGAAAACTAACAAACTATGATCTCGGTCAGTGAATCAATTGCAATTTATCATAACATCGGAAAGAGTCAATTCAAGAGCTTTTTAGCAAGTCCACATACTCAACTATCATTTAGTATTTCATAATTGCTAACACTCACACGATACTTATGGGTTCAAAGCTTCAGTCGGACACAGAGAAAGATAGGGGCTTATAGTTTCGCCTCCTAACCTTTTACCTCAAGGGTAATGTCAACAATAATAATTTATGATAACCTACATCCGAGTGGATATATATATCTGGATCTCTCCAACACACAGTGCTTGCCAAAAGGAAAAAGTTTAAAAAGGAAAGGTGAAGATCACCATGACTCTTGTATAAGGGTAGAAGATAAAAGATAAAATACAGGCCCTTCGCAGAGCGAAGCAAATGTTGTCATGCGCTTTTATGGTTGGATGCAAAAAATCTTAATGCAAAAGAACATCACTTTATATTGTCGCTTGTGATAAAAAACTTTATTATGCAGTCCATCGCTTTTATTTCTTGCATATCACAAGTTCGTATAAAGCTTATTTTTTCACACTAATATATCATACATATTTGGAGAGCAATTTTTATTGCTTGCACGATGACAACTTACTTGAAGGATCTTACTCAATCCACATGTAGGTATGGTGGACTCTCATGGCAAAACTGGGTTTAAGGGATGTTTGGATGCACAAGTAGTATCTCTATTTTGTGCAAAGGATTTGGCTAGCATAAGAGTCAAAAGCAAGCTCAACATGTTGGAGGATCCATGACAATATAACTTCTATTCGGATATAAGAAAACATAACCCATTATGTTGTCTTCCTTGTCCAACATCAACTTTTTAGCATCTCATATTTAATTGAGTGCTCATAATTACAAAAGATGTCCAAGATAGTATATTTATATGTGAAAACCTCTCTTTCTTTATTACTTCCTATTAATTGAAACAATGACCAAAACCATGTTTGTCAACTGATAACCCACAAGTATAGGGGATCGCAATAGCTTTTGAGGATAGAGTATTCAACCCAAATTTATTGATTCGACACAAGGGGAGCCAAAGAATATTCTTGAGTATTAGCAGTTGAGTTGTCAATTCAACCACACCTGGATAACTTAGTATCTGCAGCAAAGTGTTTAGTAGCAAAAGTGGTATGATAATAAAGGTAATGGTAGCAAAAGTAAAGATAAATGTTTTTGGGTTTTTTGTAGTAGTTGTAACAGTAGCAACGAAAAAGTAAATAAGCGAAGAACAATATGTGAAAAGCTCATAGGCAATGGATCAGTAATGGATAATTATGCCGGATGCGATTCCTCATGCAATAGTTATAACATAGGGTGATATAGAACTAGCTCCAGTTCATCAATGCAATGTAGGCATGTATTCCGTAAATAGTCATATGTGCTTATGGAAAAGAACTTGCATGACATCTTTTGTCCTACCATCCCGTTGCAGCGGGGTCCTTACGGAAACTAAGAGATATTAAGGCCTCCTTTTAATAGAGAACCGGAACAAAGCATTAGCACATAGTGAATACATGAACTCCTCAAACTACGGTCATCACCGAGAAGTATCCCGATTATTGTCACTTCGGGGTTGTCGGATCATAACACATAGTAGGTGACTATAGACTTGCAAGATAGGATCAAGAACACACATATATTCATGAAAACATAATAGGTTCAGATCTGAAATCATGGCACTCGGGCCCTAGTGACAAGCATTAAGCATAGCAAAGTCATAGCAACATCAATCTCAGAACATAGTGGATACTAGGGATTAAACCCTAACAAAACTAACTTGATTACATGGTAAACTAGTTGACCCGTTGCGCCAAATGGCGCAGAGACCTGCTGAAGACATGTTGTCAATCAAAATAGTTTAATGTTGCAAGAACCTTCAACTAAAGCCATGTTCGTGATGAAAATAGTTTCCTTTACTAAGGACATGCCATGTATATACACTCGGTTTACTTGTGGTCTGCTAAATCCATATGCGCCTTGAAAAAAACATGGTTTAATTTGCAGAGGCTAACGTGTTTCAAGTATGAATAAGAACTACGAACTCTTTTTGTGCGATTCAAACACATTTCCAGAGAGAGAGAGAGAGAGAGAGAGAGAGAGAGAGAAAAGAATACCCCTCTCTCATTATGATAATTATTAGAAGGTATTAAATTCGAAATAGACAATTTCATTTACTTGAAGCACTTGAAAAAAGAGAACTTTGACATACTTTTACGCAATGCTCATTTAACCTCTGAAGGACTACACAATGCTCATTTAACCTGTGAAGGACAAAAATATTCCACCATCTCTGAATGATGAACTAAACTAAATAAGAAATACATACGGTAAATTCATTCAAAGTAGAAAAAGGATACATGGTGTTATATTAGTAAAAGAAATTACATCATTAGAAGAGAAAAGGGAAGAAAACCAAACATGAGATTGAGATTAATACATCGAGGAGGAGGTCGTAGACATCACTGTGATCATTTTGCGGCCTAAGGAGCAAAGGATCCATGGTTTTTATATGCCTTCAACTCCTTGCGAAGACCCTGCAGCCATCACAATCATTCATGACACAAAGAGGGGAAACAGACACCTCAACAAGATTCTTGAGGAAGTGCCCAAGGAAAGAAAAAAGAATGTTAGGTCTGAACTGTCAGAACATGCTCATAAATATGAACTGTCAAGGGCAAGATGAAATGCGAGAACAAGCACTGATGAGTAATGATATACTGAAAATTTCCTTTCTTTGTTGTTTTCGAATATACATCGAGGCACTCAGGTTGTACTCATATCCACAACCCATTGAACAAATGGAGATTGCTATATGGTGGACTACCTACAGATTACTAACTTTACAAAATCCCTCGCATCCTCTCAATTTCTGATCCTATGGAAATCATTGTCATTAGGAACCTTTTGACCATTATATCCAGAATCGAATGGTTTGGGGTATGCCAGAGGGTTTAAGAATCTCTTGAGAAGCGCCAAATGCTTTATTTTACTCCAGTTTTCATCATGACCATCAAATCCTGATCATGCAGTCAACAATGCCATGCCTTTGGTGCCTTTGTTGCACAAAGGCAGAGGATATGCATCCCTCAGTTATGTATGCTAACGCCTAGATCATATTCCATCTTGTTGGCATATGCAATCAGGCATTGGGAAGGTGTATATAGAATCATTAGGTTTCCTGAATGCGATGCCCCTTATGTCACTATGGTGCAGTATTTCCAACATGTGATGCTTGAATCGACTCCATCTGCAGTTCAAAGAAACAATTCTAGTTTCATATACCACTATATCCATTTACACGTTAAGCAAAGATGGGCAAATATTCACGGGTTTATAACTAATAGAAGTGAACTTTAGAAGTCAAACAAACTGCTCCGATGAAGGCAAGTTAGGATTAGGCAGTAGGCATTAGTTTGCCTTGAAATTGTAGGTAATCACTTGCATTGCAACAAATGGAATAGTTTTTTGTTAAATTCATGAACTACCTTGTAACATGATAGAACATCTGACAGCAAGATCTCTTTCTGATGTGCTCAAATCATGATAATACTGGGCATATTATTTTTAGATGAAGATGCTAGTACTTGTTTTCATGGTTCAGATTTCGGCTTGCTGACTGCTGTCACTACAAGACTATGAGTATATTTTTCTTTAAAGGACTCCATGGCATCAACACGTAGTTTCCATGGCAAGCTTACTCTGCTCAAATTATGTTTGTTACATAGAAGAAACATGCATAGAAAAAAAAGTCTACAACAGATAACTAAAACATTGGTTGTTATTAAATGTGATCACCAACCTCACAATGATGCTATGAATTCTCATCCGACGGAAACTGGCTTTGGACTTCTTCCAGCCTGCCACTTCATGCTGTACTACCTATTCAAAATAGCAAGAGTGTGTAGTAAGGAACTGGACAAGAACCATCCCTTGGAAGCTCCTGTTCTACCCCAGCAAGAAGCCAAGAACAGACACATCCTCTGTGACCATAGTAGGTACGAAAGCGCTGGCAAAGCGCACCAAGGCACCACGGCTTGCAAAACAGGTATAACGGTCGAAATAAGAGCACACATCCCGCTCACACGCAACCACCAAATATAAGCATAAAACGGAAGTCACACGAGACTGGAAAATAAGATGACCCCCGGATAGATCCGCAACAGAGAGACAATCAGTCAATCAACAACCATGACAACATGCACAAAAAGATAAATATATCTTGAGCCACAGATAACGCACATGCATTGGAAAAGGAGAGCAAATCTTGAGCAGCAGCAGCTGGTTGCAGATGCAAAAATAGAACAGTTCTTCCAACCTACAAAATGAACACGGACAGAACCATAAGAATATAGTAGGCATAATAATGTAGGCATAGAGCGCATCTATTCCATCAACCGCCCAAAATACATATGGAAGTCCATTTAGTAAGTGCAGAGCAACGTGATGGCATCGGAATAATTCTTTTTACCAAAGGAAATAACATTGCTCATTATATTAAGACACTACATTCCCAATTCCTCTGCCTCGTGAACTGGGACTGCACACTTTTAACAGCAATATCTGACATAGAGGTTGATAAAGCTTATTATACTGTCTAGGTTGTACAGTTTGATTCCACACCCGCGACTAAGATCAACTTCTTTATTAAAATGTTGCTTTCTCAGGTGGATCATCTAGAGCCTAAAGAGGAAACTATGCTGAAGGTCCCTGGTTATAGCAGTCATGTGCAGTTTGTTGTGTTGAAATCCTTTGCCTATCCTCTTGAAGAAGGGTTTGACGAGATTATTGTCGCAACAACAAGAACTGAAACAGTGGTTGGCGATACAGACATAGCCGTTCATCCCGAGGATAAAAGGTATACACATCTCCATGGAAAGCATGGTATTCACCCGTTAAATGGCCGAAAACTCAAAATAATCCGCGATGCTGTTAGTGGAACCCACTTTTGGTACTGGAGCTTCATTTAGGTATTGTTGCATAAAGTTTATGATATGGTCTTTAAAGAATGGTTGTTGGGTTATTCCACTTGATTAGTATAAATTTAGGTGATGACATTCAATGAAATATCATAAACTATGTACTGTAATATTCACATTTATATTTTGCTAATGCTCACCACAAAAGACAAACTAGAACTTGCTAGTCTGAGTCATGGTTTTCGAGTCGCGACTCATGCGAGTCGCTCTGGGGCAGTGACTCGGAAGAAGTCGAGCCTGTGTTGTGACTAGTCGCGACTCAGGGTCGCGAGTCGACACTAAGCTAAGTCGACCATATTTTTGCGACTCATAGACTAGTCGTAGACTAGTCACGACTAGTCGAGCGACTCAGAATCCATGGTCTGAGTGATATTGATTCTTGTATAAACATCTCTACCTTTTACATGGTTGTCCACCTGTTCTGATTAAAACTCAACATGATTGTTTTCTCCTCATCAGACTGAAGCTCGTCCATGCATGCGCGTATAGAGATGAGGATAACCATACACCCAGATGAAGGGCCAAGCTGAACATAAGCTGCAAATAAGAAACAATAGACAACTACAGAATCTGTTAAGAGCCCAAATTAGCTAATAAAAAATTAAAAGATCAGCAAGTACCAATGCAACTCTAATTATTGTCAGGCAGGTTACCTTCAACGGAAACGAATCGGGCCTTTGGTCGCTAGCCTCATGGGGCACAACTTTTGCGATTCCTCTGCTTAAATTCCATCTACAACCAGTAGCCATTGCCAGCAGGATCCATGACTCGTCTCCGCCTTTTTTGGCCTTCTACAATCTGATAATAAATTCCTAACATGGCGGCATGAAAAACCCCGCCACAAGAACTCACGTCTGCTGGGGGAGTGATAAAGGAAATATATCTGCAAAAAAAGACTAAGTGGGAAGCACCGAATCCTGTTTCCATGAAGCTCTAAAAACACAAGAACTCATGTCTGCTGGTAGTGTTATAAAGGAAATATGTGAATATGTACATGTAAGGTTGCCTCATTTCTGAAAACACAAATCCACCCTAACTGAAAGCACATGAACAAAATGCAGATTCTCTCTTCTTTAAAGATGTTACATGACTCGGCATCTTCCTTTAGGAAAGGAAAATAGTACATAATCAATAGTGCAATAAAGTTCTGTAGGTAAACAAAGAAAGAATTTTGGTTACCACAAATCTCATTTAGCCTCGTTGTGATCTCTTATCTTCCTCATGTTTACATCAATCACAAACAATAGCATCAAAATGAGATAACAAAGCTTAACAGGAGGGAGAAAAATCACCTTGATCTTCTTCAGATCTCTAGCTAAATTCTTCTTATTCTTCCCTTCGTCCTCAGATCTGCACACGTCTATGTATAGATAACTAATCAGTTTTGCTAAAGCAACGCGCAAAGCAGATCCATACCATACCTTGAGATCGCAAGAGCAGCAAAGCAGGTTGGAGGCAGCACACACGCGATCCAGCTCCAGGACCGCCCATGGCCACGGCCGCATTCCAAATCTCCAGTCGCCAACGGCACGACCACAAATGTTTCTCACCCGTCCGCCTCGCACGCTGCGGTCAGCCGCGAGCTCGCCTTCTCTCCCGTGCTCTACCCTCCCCCGATCCCCTTCTTCCCTCCCGTCGCTCTCTCAATTTTCGATCTGGAGCGGGAGGGACCGACGGAGCCATCCAGCGGCGGCGGCTGCAGCCGTGGCGGCGGCCCCAGCATGGGCCTAACGCGACCACGCAGCAGTCAGACATGGGAGGAAGAGAGGTTGCGAGGTGGATCCGGTGGCGGTGATGCTGTGGCTTGAGGCTTCTGCCGATGGCAAGGAGGAGGAGGCGGGTGAGGAAGGCGGAGCTCGGGCAGAGGTGGGAAGGAGGCAGCTGCGAGCAAGGAGAGGGTGCGGCGGGAGGGAAGGAGGAGCGAGGCCGTGCAGTTGCTGTGGGGATCGGGGGGCATTGGGCAAGGGGGGTAGGGTTCTTCTGGCGGCTAGAATGGGAGTGGGAGTGGGACGAGGCGAGGCTAGGATTGGACGCGGAATGCACGGAGCAGATTGGCCAAAACTTTTACACGGGGGGACGACGAACCCAGCCAACAAGCACACGACGTGAGCCCACACGTCATTGGCCAGCAAAAATGACCATGAGGTGAAAATTGGTTTTTACTGCTGTGAAGATCCAACGGCTCAAACGCGTTAGAGGGCAGATCCGACGGCCGACGAAGCTTGCAACCGGGGGAGCATTCTGGAGGAGGGTTGGCTAGCCTCTTTTTTGTTTTAAATCTCATCCAACCCATCACCGTTCAGCAAGCCTACGATGGAATTACTCACGCACGACGATGAGGATCATGAAATTGGTGATGGAGGATGGTTGATGATGACGACGGCGATGAATCCCCCTCTCTGGAGCCCCCGAACAGACTCCAGATCAGCCCTCCCGAGAGAGATTAGGGCTTGGCGGCGTCTCCGTGTCGTAAAACATAATGAAACTTTCTCCTTAATTTTTTTTCCCCGAGACGGAATATATGGAGTTGGAGTTGAGGTCGGAGGAGGTCCAGGGGGCCCACGAGATAGGGGGCGCGCCGTAGAGGGGGGCCCCCTGTCTCATGGACAGGCCGTCGGCCCCCTGGCACTAATTCTTTCGCCAAAAATTCTTATTAAATCTGAAAAGTGCCTCCATGGATTTCCAGGACATTCCGAGAACTTTTCTTTTCTACATATAAAACAACATCATGGCATTTCTGCTGAAAACAACATCAGTCCGGGTTAGTTTCATTCAAATCATGCAAGTTAGAGTCCAAAACAAGGGCAAAAGTGTTTGGAAAAGTAGATACGTTGGAGAAGTATCAACTCCCCCAAGCTTAAACCTTTTCTTGTCCTGAAGCAATTCAGTTGATAAACTAAAAGTGATAAAGAAAAACTTTTACAAACTCTGTTTGCTCTTATTGTTTTAACATGAAAAGCCCGCATTCAAGTTTCAGCAAATATTACGAACTAACCATACTAACAATAACACAAAGGTCTCACAATTACTCATATCAATAACATAATCAGCTAGCGATCCATAATAATAAAACTGGGATGACAACACTTTCTAAAAATAATCATAACATGATATAACAAAATGGTATCTCGCTAGCCCTTTCTGAGACCGCAAAACATAAATGCAGAGCACCTTTAAAGATCAAGGACTGACTAAACATTGTAATTCATGGTAAAAAAGATCCAGTCAAGTCATACCCAATATAAACCAATAATAATGAATGCAAATGACACTGTGCTCTCCAGCGGGTGCTTTTTAATAAGAAGGGTGATGACTCAACATAAAAGTAAATAGATAGGCCCTTCGCAGAGGGAAGCAGAGATTTGTAGAGGTGCCAGAGCTCGATTTTAAAATAGAGAATGAATAACATTTTGAGCGGCACACTTTTGCTGTCAACGCAACAACTATGAGATGGTTGTATCTTCCATACTACATGCATTATAGGCAGTCCCCAAACAGAATGGTAAAGGTTTATACTCCCCCAACCACCAACAAGCATCAATCCACGGATTGCTCGAAAGAACGAGTGCCTCCAACATACAACAGCCCTGGGGGAGTTTTGTGTAATTATTTTGATTTGCTTTGATCTTTTTGGATCATGGGACTGGGCATCCCAGTTATCGGCCCTTTCTCGTGAATGAGGAGCGGAGTCCACTCCTCTTGAGAATAACCCACCTAGCATGGAAAATATAGGCAGCCCTAGTTGAAACATGAGCTGCTCGAGCATACAAAACAGAATTTTATTTGACGGTTTGGAGTTTGGCACATACAAATTTACTTGGAACGGCAGGTAAATACCGCATATAGGAAGGTATAGTGGACTCATATGGAACAACTTTAGGGTTTAAGGAGTTTGGATGCACAAGCAGTATTCCCGCTTAGTACAAGTGAAGGCTAGCAAAAGACTGGGAAGCGACCAACTGAGAGAGCGACAACAGTCGTAAACATGCATTAAAATTAATTTACACCGAGTACAAGCATGAGTAGGATATAATCTACCATGAACATAAATATCATGAAGGCTATATTGATTTGATTCAACTACATGCGTGAACATGTGCCAAGTCGAGTCACTCAATTCATTCAAAGGAGGATACCATCCCATCATATCACATCATAATCATTCTAATAGCATGTTGGCACGCAAGGTAAACCATTATAACTCATAGCTAATCAAGCATGGCACAAGCAACTATAATATCTAAATGTCATTGCAAATATGTTTACTTCATAATAGCTGACTCAGGAACAATGAACTCATCATATTTACAAAAACAAGAGAGGTCACGTTCATACCAGCTTTTCTCATCCCAATAAGTCCATCATATATCGTCATTATTTCCTTTCACTCACACGACCGAACGATGTGTTGCATTGGACTAAGCTGGAATCTGCAAGCATTCAACTCGAGAGAGAAGACAAGTAATATGGGCTCTAAATTAAATAAACAATCATGCATATAAGAGCC